TTCAATCGATTACTCAATCGATTAATCGGTCTCGTTCGTTTCCACAGATAAAATATTAGGAAAAACGTTTTTATTTGTTTTATTTCGTCTATGTTAAACATGTGACAAGCGAAGCAAAATACAATTGGGATTTCGAATCAGCCTCTATCTGTTGTTCAGAACAGTTCAAAGAAATTCACGCTCACGGATTATTACTTCTGCTGCATGATGCATAGAGGTTCGTTTGTGTTCTCCGGCAAGAGCGACCTCCCTTCCTTGTTCACAATAGTCTCAGTTGTGTTAAACAAACACTTGAACGGCGTTGAAGGAGACGGAACACGTGCAACAATCTACAATTGTCTCGAGTTACAAAACTTTAACCTACACTTTACTTTAGGCTAAAGTTTCACCTAGCGTTTGCCCTTTTATACAGGTAAACTTGTCCACGTCTGCGTGGTAAAAGCTTTGAGTTTTTATCTCTTTATTTTGTTCAAATCTGACCGATTTACGGGTTAAAATATTAATCGCTATTAAATATTAATTGATTAAGGTAGGTTAATCTATCGATTGCTATCGATTGCAAGCACTAGTTCACACATCGCGACACTGTTAGCGCGAACTGGACATCGAGGCATTTTCGAATTTTTCTTCTAAATAGTATTACCGAGCACCAACAATTATGACTTACATTATGGAATTAAAATGAACTCTTTCCGTAGGAATAATAACTTGAATGACATCCCTTGGTTTCGAAGAGAAATACTGGAAAAACCGGCAATCGCTTGATCGCGCTAACAGTGTCGCGCTCTGTACCGATTGTTTTTCCCCGCAAAAATCAATATCGGAATGTCCGAGAGGGCTACGCTCGACCCGCGCGGAGATTTCAAAAGCGGAAAGGCACAAAGAACACATAGGCAACACACTCAGAGCACGATCCAACTCGATATGAAAGTTATTTGTTTGTTTTTACTTGGCTTTTATTTTACTATGTAAAGACAGACAACTGTAACTTTGGTTTTGCACTGAGCCGGCGGGGCGCCTGCTACGCCTCCCGGAGTGTATGTGCGTACGTGCGTATTTGTGTGTTTCTTTTTGTTAACGTTTTGGACATGATTGCGTTTTCAATAAGGCTTCTTGTGGAACCTTGTGGGACAAAAGACCAGATGTTGGCCAGTTCAAAGAATTATTTTTACGGATTATTATTTTTCTATTCTTATTTCAACTTATTTCAAGTGGAGAGAAAAGCAACGTTCTTCTCGTTGTAAGGATTTTGGGTTTGCAGTATTTTGATCAAAAGGTTAAGAACGACGCAGCCATTCTCCTCGCAAGCAACGCCTGTGCCGTTGTCGAAAACAGCCATTCAAAAAGAATGGAGCCATTCAAGAAAATATTAAAGTAAAAACAGCAAAATATATAGATATTTTTCTTTGGTATGAAAGGTTCCCTAAGGAGATTTCTCGCAGATTAAAAAGGAATAGCTTTTGGCAGTTGAGCATCCTATTGGGAGAACGAATGAATTTTAAAATCGAAGCAGGAAGACCTTCTTACTTCAAAATATTATCAAACTTTGCAACATTAAAGTTTTCCTTGAAGTGCATCTTGTTCGGTGTGCGAAGACTGGTAGACTGAATTCATTACATTCAAATAGCTGTAAGACACTTCAGAGATTTGTTCTTTAATGCAGAACCCATTGTTCGTTTAACTCTTACAAAACCAAACTTTTCAATAACGCTGCTGCGGAAGATCCCCTCCTCCCAAGTGCTGCATATTCCTAATGTTCGAAATCGCAGAGCAATACAAATCAAGTCGGACATGCTTCATGTAAAGAAGTCATTGTTTGTGCTTCCTGGTTTAACCAACCAAGACGTTACAACGCGAAACTTTTTTTTAAATGCCCTTGAAGAATCTTTAAGGGGCAACACAAACCAGAAAACAAATTTTTTTGCAAACGAAGTTGATTTTGAAAAATGCCATACACATCTAGAGAGTATTCACAAAAAGCTCCATTTGTTTACACTGGATAGTTATTTTTTTATAAATTATTTTCCAATCACCGATGCTAGTGCAGAGGTAGAGGTTCGAGCATTTTGAACACGTTTTTCTCCGTTCCACTTTTTCGCATAAATTTCACTTCAAAAGAACTATCGTTCCATCACGGGACAAAAGGAAAGGCTCACTCATTGTTTTTCTTAAGCAAAATTTCTTGAGTAATGCGGCTGTGGCATTGTTTTTTTACTTCGTGAATCTATTTTTATAAAATATGTTTAGATTTTGTCGACAAGATAAACGGCAAAAAATTTATTTGATTTTGCAGTGCGGTGTTAGCATAAAATAAATTATATTTTGGAAATTTTGTTTTACAGCGGCACTTTTAGTCATTCTGCTGCGTATCTAGTTAAGAAAACTGTCGGGTACATTACATACGTTTTTCTAACTATAGTTTTTGTAAACAATATCAGTGTGTTCCTGATAAAAACCGCCATAATTTATTTCACAACTCAATTACACAAATAAAACTTTGCATTGCCTTCTGCCTCGCAACTGCCACTATACCATATAAATTTCATTCATATTAAGCCAAAGGTTCAAAAGTTGACCCTTCTGGGTTCCGTTTTCGCTTAGGGCGAACTTTGGTTTTCAGGTCATTATTTTTGAGTTAGCAATACCTTGTCGGGAAAGCAAAAAAAAAAAAAAAAAAATGCGCGCCACAGGTTTGCGCATGACTGCAGGGGGACCGGGGTTGGTCGCATTTTGAGAACAGAAACGCAATTAGTAGTTTAAAATTTGACGAAAAGTGAAATGAACGATACCCTTTGGGCACGAAACGTACTAATGTATCGATAAACCCTGTTCAGTTAAGATCATGTACGTGAGTACAGACATTTTCTCGTTTGTTTGTTAATTTCTATATGTTTCGTCTCAACATGTGTAGGGAAGCTAATCAAACAAGATTTTACAAAATAGAATATTTAAAAAGAAAACAAATTAGTACGTCAGAGTGGAATATTCAATTTTTCAAGTTTTTGTTTATGTTATTTTTGGTGACACCTACTACGCAAACTGAAAATACCAAAAATCTCAAATGTTTTGCACTTTTAATATATCATAAACGCTTTTGAGTGATATAGTGCACAGCATTGTGGAGGTCATAAATTTCTCGTCAAAATTGCGCAAACCTGGCTCCTTTGACGTTTTGTCACCAGATCTCTGAGCCGTTTTGTACAAAAATTTAATGGCTACAACATTTAAATTTATGTCATATTGTCATCAAAGACAAAGATTAAGGCGGCGAATAACTGGAGAAACTCAACGTTTTTTGGGGCTAATTTTGTCCGAAAACTAAATAGAAGAAGGTTAGCGTCGCAGGCGTCTGTGTCGGCAAAGTAGCAGGATCGAGCGCTGGGGAGAGACTGACTCCAGCCCGCCACGCGGAGCACCTTTTTTGTACACGCGAGGGCTTCTGGAACAATCGGCGTAGAAGATTTGGCGCGCAGAACATTCTGACTACGAACAAGGAACAGAATTCTCAAATTCACCAGAACGCGACAATTAAAAAAAATAACAAAGAGGTACCGCCGCTCCTTTGCATCGAACCTCGGTTCATTGCGTGAAAGCCAAACACGATAACCGTCCGGCCACGGGCGCTTTTTTTTTTCTTTTTTATTGCATGAGAAACAAAAACGGAGAGCTAGAGCACACAAATATATTGCACTACAAAAATAGGTCCCTCATTTATCACTACAGTTCTTCCATCTGTAATACAGCCTCAGAAAAACAGGGACGAAGAACGAGTAAAGACAGGACAACGGCTGTATTACATCTGTAATACAGCCGTTGTCCTGTCTTTACTCGTTCTTCGTCCCTGTCTTTCTGAGGATGTTTTTCATCATGTTCAACTCTTACCACCTGGCCCAAATCACCACCCTACTTCCATCTGTAACATTTTGTTAAACAATGGTACCCAATCGGGCTTTGTGTCGCGAACTTCGTACATGACTTGTGGTACCAGTTGAATGAAATAACAGTGCACAGATTCGGGGTCTGAACGGCATTTTGCACGTCCATTCGGGATTTCCACATGCTCTATAAACTAAGGACCATATTGAGGTCATACGGAACGGTGTCCCCTGGCATTACGGGCAGAAAACGAATGGAATGCGGTGTAATATCTAGGTTTTTGCGCAAAGTTCGCTGCAACGCATCCCCTCCAAAAAAAGTGCGTCCCAGCAGTTGATAAAAATGTGCTCAACACTTTCGGGCTCCTTACACAATAAGCAGTTTACAGTCCATGGAACAAAAATACCGTTCTCCTGCAACCATACCTTGGTGGGTAAAATAGAATGTAATTTGATAAAGGATGTTTTGATCCTAGGAGGGTTTCCCATCTTTTTTACACGACACAGAACATCGTGCCCGGGTTAATTTTTGTACAAGACTCGGTATATTGGCGTTGGGAAGAACATATCAACAAGATTCCGTGTTAATTTTTTTCTCGACACAGTTGCGAGGTATCCCCGAGAAAAACAAACTGTTAGAAAATTCAAGGCGTCAACAACCTCTTTAAGGTATACCACCAGTCTTGGTGGGTGATATTCAACGGTTGACACACACTGTAAAAAATTTACGTCAATTTGACGTGTCTTTCCCTCGTCAAAAAAGACGGGCACGCTCATCATTTCAAAATACGAGGATGCCCTCATTATTTATTTGGCGCGAGAGCCGAGCCTTCCAGAAAAGCCGAAATCCCAGGAGTGCAAGCATGCGCAGATGGCGAGGAGTTGAATGCCCCGCCGCGCAGCGCGCAGCCCCGCAGCTCTTTCGCGGCCCTCCCAGCCCTCCTCTCTCGCAGAATGGTGTTGCCGTTGTTGCAACACCCATCTCTGTTGTTTTGCGGTTTTGCTCCGAGTCGTGCGCCCGTGCCGCGCAGGCGCAAACAGAGGTTGCAGCAGCTATCGCCATGCTATCGCTCTTCGGGCGTTCGTCGAACTCGCCTCGGTGGCTGTTGACATCGTGGTCAGTGTAGTGTTCTGTGATGCATCAGGGCCTCATCAGCTCATCGACGACTAAATCGCCCACTTCAAGGTATGCAATGTGACTTTATCCTTGCAATGTCTTGCTTACGTATTGTAATCGAATATTTCTCCATGTTCGCGGTTCGAGTGCTTTCGGTTGAAGACGGAAAGCGCTCGAGCGTGTTCGAAATCTGCGGTCTGAGTACACGGGCGTCCAGCGACACATCGTGCTTTTGGTGTTTCTTTTTCAGCACGTTATGTTTCCGTTATAATATGCACGTGTTTATTTATCCGTGCTGCAGCGGCGGCGCCTTTACTCAGAGCCCTGCGCCTTATCTCTTAGGAGAACTCGCGAGTACGAGCTTTTATGGAAGCTTAGTTTCTGTGTTTGTTTTTGCAACAACATTCATGCAGCCAGACAACATAAGCGAGCGGCTAACGTCTTTGTAACGACGCAATGTCATTGAACGACGTTTTAGCGGCTTCGAAAACGGAAGTTTCCAGTGCACTCGATTCACGAGCCTCTAAGACGTACACAAAATTATTGACCGCCCTCGTAATTTGACGGGAAATTTCTCAAGCAGTTTGGAGGGTTAATTGTTGTAAACATCCACTCTGCAGCTCGCTGCTGGCTCTGACTTTATATTTAACAGTGTGCTTATTTTTTATATCGTATTTTCCGGGCTATAGTCCAAGGTCTATACATGTTTAAAAGCTGAAATTTTAGGCTGTGCGGACTCTCTACGCGTGCGGACTATACACGAATTTTGTTTTTCAAGATCGTTCAGTATGAGGAGATGTGACGGATTTTGTGAGTGAAAGAGTATGTTAATGATGATTTATGTATATTATAGGCAGGCACGTAGCCAGGGGGAGGCCCCCCGCCCCCCCGAAACAAAATTTTGGCTACGTGCCTGATTGTAGGCTTCTTTGTGTGCTAAGAAAGCAGACATGTGTCAAGGTGCGCCGTCTATAGGAAGATTTTCGTGTCGACTAAGCACCAGGTGCCGACTATGCACGGCACGCGGGCTATGCACCGGGTGCGGACTATCTAAGTATCTAAGCAAGAACTTTTACTTTGGACCCCCAATTTGCCCCTGCGGACTATACACCGGGTACGGACTATAGCCCGGAAAATACGGTACATATATTTTAGGTTTTTGCATGTCCTATATTCCGTTCACGCCTACGCTGACAGTGCGGTGCAAGCTACTTGTTCGCCAACTATAATTAAAGCCTCTTATCGCTTGACCTCGCTCTCCCCGCGTGAGTATGCGAGAGGCGGTGACCACGTTGTGCAGAATCGACAGTTGACTGGTCAAACGAACATGCAGCTTCCACCGCACTGTCTGTTTAGGGGTGAACATTTCGCAAAATCGTAATAATTGGCTCAGCATACCCAACGGCTTATCGGCTTCGCAGAAGTTTATATTTTATTTATTTTTCTGCGCTTTCTTGTTTTATTTCTCATTGATGAGTACTGTTCATTCATTTGCACACCTGAGTCATTAGACAGCTGAAATGACGTCGAAAGATTCTTCTGATATATCAAATTTTTTTTTGTAATCTTTAATGGACTGTAAAGGAAAATGAAGGTGATATATATGTGGATGCCATCCTCACTGTATAATGGGAGGGCTCGGCGGACATTAGACAGGCGGATAAACGTCAAAATATGTTTACTAATTAACCGAAAATTGTAAAGTCACTGTTTAATTACATAGCTTTTTACTTTTCTTATTTCACTGTAGATTACACTTGTGCAGCTTCAGACACCCCGGCCATGACACTTCCCCTTTGGACTTGGTTTAATGAATTTGTGTTTAGTATAGTTGCGTTATTTGTTTAGTATAGTTACGTTTATTATCATTAGTGCATGATTTTTTTTAACGAGGTTATAATTGCTTCCTCTTTTTTACAGTGGCTATTTTCAAACCTAACGTTGCATTTGCATATGTTGGTGTGCATGTGCATGGTGTGTGTCTGCATCTAACTGTGTCACATGGCACCTGTGACATCCTAATGACGTCTGCATATAGTTGTTTCACTTTGCACTCGGGCTCAAAGTATAGCTATGTTGGACTGTTAATTTCAGGGTGGCATATCCCACAAGCCTCATGTTGGCTGTGATGTGCCCGTCATGCTAACTGATGTGCGCTAGATACAATGAATGTATTATATTATTATTATGAATATTATTATTATTTAGCGGTGTAATGGGCCTCTGCGCAATTGCAATTTTAAAGAGAGTAATGTAACCCCAAAACTCTAACCGGCGATTTCCGAAAAACATGGATTACTCAAAACTTGCTGCTTTTTCACAAAATTGTTTCATTTAGGTTGGGCTTTAATAATGTCTCCGTTTAAAATTGCAATCGCAGCATAGCCCATTATACCAATAGTTAAGAAGGTAATTAACATATTTTGGTTAGTAAACATAATTTTATGTTTATTCTCTTCTCTAACGTTTGTCATTGCTGTGGTATTGCTGGCTACTGCAGTGTGTGACCCAATTGTTATGTTTGTTATAGGTACTTTGGCCAGATAAACCTCAAAAGAGGTACCAGGTGTGCACCATGCCATACCGCAAAGAGCGGCATTTATCCGAAAGTTCTCAGGCTCATCAAGGAAGGGAAATGAACCCGTAGGTACTATCCAAAGATTACCAGCCGCTCTCTTCAAGCCGCATGGAGAGCTCTATGAGTTCAGCAAGTGTTCCTAGTGGTCCTTGGGATATTTCATGCTGGAGGCTTATGTAGTATTGGTCTTGTCTTTGTAACTTTGTGGGTATAAGGCAAGCTGTATTAAATTTATTGCAGGTTCCAGTTGCACCAAGCAGGTGCACTCACCCTCAGGTTGCAAGCCGCTCTCTTCAAGTCGCATGGGGTGCTTTATGAGGTGAGCAAGCATTTCTAGCAATCCTTAAGACATGTCGTGCTTTAGGCTTATGTATTACTGGCCTTGTCTTTGTTACATTGTGGTATATGGCAAGCTGTACTAAATTTATTGCAGGTCCCAGCTGCACCAAACAGGTGCACGCACCATTACAGATTGCAAGCCGTTCTCTTTAAGCCACATGGAATGTTCCATGAGGTGAGCGTGCATTTGTAGTGGTCCTTGGGACATGTGCTGTAGGCTTATGTATTACTGGCTTTGTCTTTGTGGTATACGCCAGGCTGTATTAAATATATTGCAGGTCCCAGCAACAAAAATTGCAAGCCGCTCTCTTCAAGCCGCGTGGAGTGCTCTCTGAGGTGAGCAATGATTTCTGGTGGTCCTTGGTACATGCCCTTCTGGGGGTTTATGTAGTACTGACCTTGTCTTTGTTATTTTCTGGTATATGGCAAGCTGCATTAACTTTCTCGCAGTTCCCATCTACACCAAGCGGGTTGACCCACCGTCAGACCGCAAGCCGCTGTCTTCAAGCCGCACAAAGTGTTCTATGAAGTGAGCAATCATTTCTGGCTGTCTTTGGTGCATGCCATGCTGGGGGTTTATGTAATACTAGCCTTGTCTTTGTTACTTTCTGGTACATGGCAAGCTGCATTAACTTTGTCGCAGTTCCCATCTACACCAAACGGGTTGACCCACCTTCAGACCGCAAGCTGCTGTCTTCAAGCCGCACAAAGTGTTCTATGAGGTGAGCAATAATTTCTGGCTGTCTTTGGTGCATGCCATGCTGGGGGTTTATGTAATACTGACCTTGTCTTTGTTATTTTCTGGTATATGGCAAGCTGCATTAACTTTTTCGCAGTTCCCATCTACACCAAGCGGGTTGACCCACCGTCAGACCGCAAGCCGCTGTCTTCAAGCCGCACAAAGTGTTCAGTGAGGTGAGCAATCATTTCTGGCGGTCTTTGGTGCATGCCTGCTGGGGGTTTATGTAATACTGGCCTTGTCTTTGTTACTTTCTGGTATATGGCAAGCTGCGTTAACTTTCTTGCAGGTCCCAGCTGCACCAAGCGGGTAGACCCACCGTCAAAGACCGCAAGCCGCTTTCTTCAAGCCGCACAGAGTGTTCTGAGGTGAGCAATCCTTTCTGGCGGCCCTTGGTACATACTATGCTGGGGGTTTATGTAAAACTGGCCTTCTCCAGTTTGATCCAGTTTTACCTAAGGAAAAGGTGGACCTCTATAGTGGGATGGACATGCATTCAATATTTTTATATACATGTATACAAAGCTGTCTACTTTGATTCAAACAAAATTAAAAAAAAAAAAAAAAAAAAAAACGGCACGAGTTACTTAAATGATTCCCTCACTGTGTGTTTATGGGGCTCGGAGGACATTAGATAAGGGGATAACCGTTGCAGAATGTTAATCAAAACTAATGAACAAAATTTTTTTAATAATGTTTTTAATTAATTGTTTTATGGGATACGTTTCAATTCTAGTTTCAAAGGCAGTAAATGTTAGACTAACAGAATTTCTGTATAGCAACAAGGTTCAAGATATGGAATGCTAAAAATTTGCTTTTTTTGTCACCCGATTCGAAAATTGCGTACTCGGGGAAGACCTCAGGATGTTGTGCGGACGTGGTTGCTTCGGACGCACCTTTTTTATCTTGGAAGTATGACGCGGATGCATCTACCAAGGACACACTGTCGAGATAGTGACGATGTGCCCAGTACGACTATGTCACTCTCCCACCCATCATTAACGGCACAAATTCTTGAGCTCCTGAGCGCGGTTTTTGCATCCGACATTAAAACACAAAAGTTGGACAAGGAATATGTGGAAGCCGCTTGGCATTTCGTGAATTGTTTAAGTCGGGATAGCCTTTAATATTGGCTGGCTTTTAACGCTGCTGTTGCAGCATGGCCGAGAAAGCCATTAGTTACAAAGCTAGCAAATTTTCGTCAATTAGTCAACATACTGTGACGGTTATCCCCTTTACTGATGTCCACAGAGTCCTACGAACGCGCAATGAAGAAGACATTCTGATAACTTTCGTGGCCTTTTTTGAAAATTCTGTTAGCTTTGATATAGAATGATGTGTATACATGTAAAACGACTTGTAGAATGTAATCATGCACATGATTGTGTTACAAGGCTTTGTTTTTCACCCAATTAAGTAGTGCATATTTTATCGCAACCTTCCAAAAATAAGCAAAGCATCCAGTTTGGTATTCAAATTGTATTCTATTTCGGTAATAAATCAACGGACTACTACTTGGTTCGCCTTTGGCTTCATACTGAAAATAATAGGCATGTGTGAATCATGAATTTTGGGCTTAAAGTGTATAATGACTTGAGCTTATTAACTTTTCAGTTGAATATCACAGTGTCTGCACCTCTCTCCAAGCCTGTTACTTAGTGCCGTCACGCTAGCCTCACCCACCCTGACAGTGTTGGTATCACTTGTTTAGCTGTAGACTGCTTTGATTACTTTAGTACATATGTTTTCAAAATGCAGTAATATGTCAGTGAAGGAGCATGATCGTGCACGAATAGTAACTTTAGGTATGGTACAAAAAAATACCTAATATCAGGGGCAGGTAGTCATCCACTGAAATAAAGTTAGAAGTGAATAATTTCGATTACCAAACTGAATGCTCTCTTAAAATTCTCAAGGATCTGCTTAAGCTGCACAGTTGTAATCAAGGCAGCAAGCAAAGCTTGTCATTTATTTATGCTTGTCAGCAGCATGCTGCATGGGCATATAGATTTATAAGTGTACATAATCAGCATGAGGGCAATACATATACTTTTTAAATGAAATTCTAATTGATCTCGTTATCATCGCCCCACTGCCAAAGCTCTGTTAGTTCTGATCCAAATTATGTTGTGGCTCTGGCTATCATCAGGTCAAGGCCCACATAGAGGTTGTGAATATAAATATACGATTTGATGGCCTTCTCGCCATGCTCATCCTTCAATTTCAAATTAGAACTGTTGCTGCAATGTCGTGACATAGCATGTTAGGACATTGCAGCCTAATACATATTCTTGATAACAGGATAGCTACAGTGTTATTTGTCTTCTAAATTTGACCTTGAGGGGAGTACCGACATCCATCAGATGCAAAAACATTCACGTAACCATTTTTAAATTTTTTTCTTAATTCCTCCTGTGTACATGTCAAAACCTCTCCGCTATAGAGGTGTGCATTTCCCACCAAAGTATGAGTCTGCACTGCGACAAAGCGAGATTCTTGCGACCGGGGTGTTACACCACCCCCTAGATAAGCAGAAGGCCTCCGCACCGTCATCACAGCCAGATCGATTGAGGCCTGAGATTGGGCACGAGTGCTGCGTCAGTGTTCGGCCGGGGCTCGTGTTCCATCAGTGCGTCGAAGGTCGGACTCGGGCCCAGTAGCCGAGTTAGCGCCATCCGACTGTGATAACGTTTCATGAAGGGAGAGGAGGCGATGCCCAGGCTTTTATTATTCTATAGGTGTTGTTGGGTGTTAACGCGATTAATGCGATTGCGGAGTCTGCTCCATGGGTTTCGCTTCTCCGCAGCGCAGTGCACATGCGGAGAAGCGCACTGAACAAAGCCAATTCATTGCAATGGTGACTTTACGAGCGCTTTGAAATGGTCGACTGGCGTAAATGACTTATTTTTCGCGAGCTTGATATTTCATACATTTTGTGAAGTGTCAGTTTTGGAAATACTTTGTGGGAACAAAATTTCACAATGAGGAGTAATGTTCAATGTATTCGTAGCCATGGGGTTACTTATTTGCATGACCAATTTGAAGCAATTTCGATAAACTCGCAAACAGTAAGCCTTTGCAAAAATTAAGCCGTTTACAGTAGTACGATTAATGTTGAAACCAATATCAAATACCGTATAATACTAAACTGCTATAAGAAAATTTTAATATTAGCACAGCCCTGAAAAATGGCCATTTGCAGATGTTTTCGCTGTGGCCTTCATCAATCCATATGGGCTTCAAGTGTAGCAGCTGCAACCTTGAATCTGGAAAAGGCTATTGTTTGTCACACATTTTCTTTATGGTGCCTAAGGTTTCATGTAATAAATGTTGTGCCCTGCAGTGAAGACTATTACCTGTAGCATAGCCCTGGGCATGCAAGCCCTGGGCATGCAAGCAATGTCTGACATATCAGACTTTCAGAAATGCTATTGTCCAATTTTCCTCACCCTTTTGTCCGGATGAAGCTGTTACTATCTTTCTTGCTTTCCTCTCATAGTCCTTTGAGCGAGTTATGTGACGTTATATCATAGGGTGGCATAGGGTAATTTTCTCTTCTCTTTTCCCGCAGGATGTAATGGCACACCATCATCACCAAGGAGAGTGTACAGTGAGGAAGCTCGGAAACTTGAATAAAGTGATAAGTAATCTTTCAATTTTTGTTTTTATAATTATGTGAAGAACACTGATCATAATGACTGTATGCTACACATACATACTTACAGCTGAAAAATGCAATCCACCTTTTCTTTAGGTTTTTCTCACACAGTTTCAGAACACGCTGGTACGTCATTTTCACGAGGAATGTTTGGAAATAGAGCTGCCAGAGATTTCCTCGTAATTTTCACGTACAAAGCCGCAAATAAAAATGACGACTTTCCTAGTCAATTTAGAAAAACGACAGTTCGTTATTTTCACGGGGGAAGATTTGAAAACGATTCAATCGTCATTTTCACGTCTATGCTCGTAAACTAAGAATGCGGTGCCTCGTTTTTTTGACAACTTTTCCCACATAATTTTAAAAAAATGATTGTACGTTATTTTGACGGGAAATGTTTGGAAATAGAGCTGCCAGAACTTTCCTCGTAAATTTCACGACTCATTTTTAACAGTGCAACGAAAGTGGGGATAAAAGATGTCAGCTGGTTTTGGATGGCTTCGCGAATAAAAGGGACTTCCTGATCTCTAAAAAAAAAATAATCGGGGTACTAACTGCCTAACGAGTAAGTGGGACAGACCCGCACCCCCGTCTGCGACACTGCGGAAAAGGTTTTCCCGTCGCATGGGCTCCCAAGTTGAAGTCCATATGAAAACCGCAAAGACACGGTGAAAATTTTGTATATTGCTTCTTGCGCAGTGTAGAACTTGTAGCACATACCAAAGCTTGGCAATCAAAAAAACGTTGCAGATAGTTGCTCTCGTAAAAATCGACACCTCTCGGTGGATCCAGCGCTTGGAGCGCTTGTCGATATCTGCTGCCACAGTTGATCAATAGGTCGTGCTGTTTCTGTGGCTCTCCAGTGGCACACCGAGGTAGTTGCATGGAGTGCAGCTCCATTGGATGTCCTCGAAAACTACGGGCGTGCTCGCCCACGTCCCGTGCCAGAAGCCCCTGCACTTTTCCAGGTTCAGTGAGGCACCCGTGGCCCTGCAGAAAGTGTGTGTCAACCGTAAGGCATGACTTACACTCGTTTTATCGGTGCAGAAAAACGCAACGTCATCCGCATAAGCCAAGACTTTGGTTTCAACGCTGTGCCCGATATATCCTCGGACATTTGAACTTTGGATTA